CATGAATGACACATGCCCCTGGTGGCTGGGGGGGGCACAGCGGTGGTAAGCAGGGAGCTCCTGCAGACGCTGCCAGCACTGTCAGCAGTGGGGGGAGGGGGGTGGCAAGCGCCAACCAAGGGTTGGCAACCACCTACAGACAGCGCTGAAGCAGTGGTGGCAGCCAGCAGCGATTGCTGACCGCCCGCAAAGACCGCTGGTGGTTTCGGCAGCGGGGCGGGGGGGGCGAGCAGCAACACTGTCGGTGGCACCTTTTCGTAGGGGGGTGCCCCGCCATGCTCAGGGGGTGCATGTGCACCCCCTATGCATCATCAATGCTTTATTGTCACTTTCTTCTGTATTTCTGCCATCAGTTCAAGAGTGTGTTTTTTGTCTGTGCCCCCATTAAACTCATACATAACCCCATATGCTGGTCTAGGAGAGTCTCCCACCTTCTGGAAAACAAGTGCTTCAGTGATAAGAAGTGCCTGAGAAACTCTTCTTCCAGATTGGAAACCTTTAATTCTTTTCAAGACATGATGTTACACAATAGTCAGACTCGAAAGCTGCCTATAGATGTGCTGATCTGCACTTTAATTAAAATGCTCCAGCACTGTCTCACTGTCACATGTATTGAACCCTCCCCCGCATTTTAAAATGACCACGGGGGCACTTTAACTAAAGCTCACTGAATGAGCTTTAGTTAAAATGCCCCTGCAGCTTTTTTAAAATGCCAGGGGGGCTTAATGCACGTGACAGTGAATCATTTTAATTAGAGTGGCTATCAGGGAACTGCTGTGTTTAAAACAGCCCCTCCCCACCCCTGAGAATGTGTATGCACACCCAAAGTGTCACACTGAATAGTCAGATTCTAAAAGTTGTCTTAACAAGGGATTTATTAAAAACAGTGATCATTGTTGGAAAAGAGGCTAATTTTAAAAGTGTGCAATTCTTAAGCTAGCTGGGTCCATTAAAATGAGAAAATGAGTATGTAAGTACTCTTTCTGGCTGTTACTTAGACTGTATAGCTCAGGGATGCACCATCTGATGCATGGGTCTCAGGAATGTATCACAAATGATTCAACAGGCATTTGATTTTGGAGGTACTGCTGTTCTATCACAATATTAGGCTGCAATTCCCTGAGTATTTCAGTGACACAGCATTTGGATAGGTGTAGCATTTAGAGTGAATGAGACACAGTGTTCCTCGTATAAAGGCAAGTGACTTATTTCTGCTAACTCCTCTAACAAGTTCTAAAAGATTTTCCTGACTTTCTTGTATTGCTAGATCTTGCATTTGAAAGGCCACTCCACTTGCACTAACAAAAACCTAGACAGTTGACTAAAGGCGTGAGAATGACTTAACATAGGTGTATACACAATGGAATCTTACAAACACAAATACTGTGATTTCAATTCTCAGTAGCCTTACTGCATATAAAATATGAATTAATAGCAAATACCAAAATCTCTCTCAGAGCTCCTCAGATTGCTTCTGTTATTTTAAGTGGGCTATTTTGGGTTTCTAGTTAAGTTTTGTTTGGCAATGAAAGTTCCCAGTCATTTTTTAAGCCCTTTTTCCTTAAGATGCATCCTTGTGTGTTCTACATTTCAAAATAAGATTTATCTTTCTTGAGACAACTAGTAAGGCTCCTAGACCATCTGCTTATTGTCTAAGGCCCACTGACCAAACACATTTTACTTTTCCTTGGGCAAGTGACTCAAATATCCATAAGAACTCGCTGAAGTGAAAACACTTTGATGTAGCCTAAGTGTATTTCTTTGAATATTGTATATTATCTCCACCAATCTAGACTTTCAGAGCAGTAGGTTAGTGGCTCCTCATCTGTGAAATATAGGTTAGAATGGTCCAAAACACCCACATGACTTTCAAAAGTCACCAAAAGCTCCGATATCCTTGAATCACTTTTTAAAACAATGGACAGATTTTTCAAATACGTGTACATTCCAACTCCTATAAGTATCTATCATGCCTTGTCCTTAGTCTCTTGAATCACTTAAACTCCTTTGAAAGTGATACCCACTGTGCTCTAGTTCTAGGTCTGGTTAAGATTACAAAAGAAAAAATAGTAAGACTTTTGTTTGGTTTTCTTTCTCCAAAAACCTCACACTATCTCTGTTTGATTCCTACTAGAAACAGTGCTGAGGCAGAAATGGAGACGCAAGAACATATTAGGATAAAAGCAGTTGTTAAAAACTTTTAAAGATTCTCTAACATACAGAAAACCTGCCTTTCAGTTCTTTCTAAACTCTGCCTGAAGAATATAATACAGAAAATATCTATCTGTATTATTCCATGCAGGGACTCCATTTTCCCCAGAAGGCAAAACTTAATCCTCATCCCTCACAACTGTGCCCACAAACTCTTCCATGCTTTTCCTTCTTTTCATATTTTTTGTTCAAAAACATCTTTCTCATGTTCCATGTTGATATGAAATGTAGGGTTCTTCACATTTTTCTGTTGTTTCATAGCTAGCCTCTTCTTCTTGAATTAGCTGAAAGCTATTAAATATAGTAAGTACTTCAGAACCAGCTACCTTCTGAAAGCCTTCCTTTTTTCTGATGCCTCTCATACATGAACATGAACCTAACATAAGCTCCCCACCCCCACAATCAGCACTGGGAAAAAAACCCTTGTCTAAGATTCATGTACAAAGAGGAAGGTGGGGGGTTAGGCAGCTGAGCCCAAGTCAGGGCTACAGTCAAACCCAAAGCAGTCCCCATTTGCTCTCTACAGCTTTTGCTACCCCTCTGTTCCCTTTCCCACCCCTGCTTCGGTTGAATTCCCTCCTGGTCACCGAGTACAGAGATACTCTGTACTCTGTCTGGCCAATCAGAAGCACTGATGCTGTTGCATGGCCCAGCAAGGGCTACACTTCCACATACTGTGCCCTGTGACCCAGCAGGATGCAGAGCTTGAGCAGCATCTGACAGCAAGGCAGGAGGGAGATAGGGGAGAGGCAGAGTCTATGGAGAGCAGAGCAGAAGGAACAGATTGTGGGGGGCAGAAGACAGAAGAGATTGTGGGGAGAAGGAGCAGAAATTATGGGGAGTGGTGGGAAGGGGCAAAGTCTGTGGGGAGCTGGGGCTGGAGGGGTGCTGGGGGGGCAGAGGACAAGGGTACCACCTGCCACACCCAGTCACTGCTTTCCCTGATGTAGCAGTGTGAGGGAGACAGATTTAAGATAACCCTCCAAGAATTAGATTCAATACCTGAAATATTATAACAATTTTATACATTTTCCACATATAGAATCTAATTATTGTGGGGGAGGGGTCATCTTAAATTCAGGGTTGACTTAGATTTGAGTGAATATGTTACTTCTTGCAGACACAGAGTGAAGTACTGCTTAAAACTCTCCCAGTTCTTGTTCATATTCCTGGAGAGTTTCAACACTGCTGGGACCTTAACTGCACCATTCTTTCACTCAGGGAATTTTCTTACATTTGCTCTTGTCCTAATACTGTGTGTTGTAACCACTGTAACCACTCAGAGCCAAGAAGTCTGAGAGAGATCTGTTATACTTGGTGCCTGATGTCTAACTGGTCAGCATTGCATAACATGAACCTACTGCTGTATAACATAACCATTACACCCTCAAAAAGCACAGTTTTCCACATTGTTAGCACAGGACTAACGATTTGTTGCAGGATTTTATCTGCTAGCAACCCTGAACAAAGATTAATGCAATAAACTTGAGCAGAGAGCAGTGAAAAGCCTGTCCAGGGGTGCTCCACCCTCACCAGGCAGAGACTAGTTGGGGTAGAGTGTGGGCTGGGGATGGGCCAGGGCCCCCTCCTGCCGTGTGCCAGCCCGGGCCATGCCCCGCCTCTCCACCTGAGCAAGGAGCAGGGGAAAATCCTGGCAGGGGCTGCTTCCCACCACACCCCTCCACCCAGCTGGGGGTGTAGGCCAGGGTGGGGTTTAAACCTTCTCCAACCCCCACCTACTTAGCAGGCCAGCCTGGGCCTGGCCACACCCCACTTAGCTTGAGCAGGGAGGAGGGAAAGGCCTCAGAGTGCTTCTCTCCCAGCTACCTTCCCTTCTTTCCACAGTGGCCAGAAGGCTAGAAGGCATGCTCTAGTGCCCCCCAGCTTCTGGCCTGAACCACTCCAGGCATGTGGTCGCATTTCCAGAATCAAAAGTGAATGTCTGTTCACTTGCTTATCAGTTCAATCTAAATAGCTTAGATTAATGTGAGACAATGGAATCGATTCAGCAGGCTTTTAGATTGTCTGTACTTAACACTCTGCTATCCAACCATGCAATCCAGCCTGCAATCAGTGTTCTGCAGTTTACAAGTGGCAGGCCGATCCCTTGCCATCACAGCCATCCCAGCTTTGTGGTACCAGGTACTATCACCAAGTTAACTGGTCCAAATTGTCCCTCACCTAGCTTTTGGACAGCACTTTTTGATGGAGGCTGCATTGGGGAGGCAAAAGAGCAGCCCTCCAGAGCAGGGACGCCTATGGCAGCAGCAGGGGATCTGAGACCTGCTGCAGCATCCAAATAACAGGCTGTGGTCTGCCATTAGTAAGAGCTTGCCAACCCCTGTTACAAATGAGGTGGTGGGAAGGGGAGTGGGGAGAAGGGGCATGCCAGGGACAACAGATGCAAGATATCAAATACTGTAAGTGTTGCAACATTCTCATCCAGATGGGAACAATGATTACAACTCGCCACCTGCTTAGCCAGTATGAATAGCTTCTGAAGCGCACAACAAAAGGCACCTCCTTGACCCAAGGCTCCACCCACCAAAAATCAAAATCCTGTTGCAAACGAGAGATAAAAGTGGGCTTGAAGAAAGAGTTCAGAATTTTTTTATAAGTTTGAATGTGAAGAAGCCTAAGTAGGTGGGGACTGTCACTATGGTTCCCCATATACTATCTGTTTTACAAACAGCTTGGTAATACTAATGCAACATTTCCCTTCTTTAGCTTATAACTTAGGTTTGGGCACAATAGGGCAATGATCATCAAAATTAAACAAGCTGGTGTACCTGGGATGCTCTGTCTTCTCACAGCCAATGCTCCATCAGGTGGTTTGGCTTGGTTTGCAGATTTAGTATAAGGACTCTCATCTAGGAAAAAAAAATAAGCCACATGAATCCAGTGAAACTTCAGTTTTAGTTGAAACATATTTATAACATGCTTGAATTTCAGTATAACTCACAGTGTAACTACACATTTACTTCTTTGCTGCAAAAATAAACTGCTTGATTATATGCTAGGAACACCACTCACTGGGGGACCATTTTTCCTGTGTTAAAGTGGGATACTATGTTTTTCTCCCCCTCACCTCTCAAAGGCAAGGAGGGGGAGGAGGGGCAATGCAGCAATGGCAGAGTACCAGAGAAGAGTGTGATGCTGGGGTGCTGTGGGATGCCAGAGGACTGGCCTAACCCTTTTGTAGCCTTTCACCAGAGAGGGCTGCTGCATTCCCACTGAAAACAGAACAAAAACATTCATTTGCTAAACCAACAGGACACTCAGGATAGGTGCTTAAACAGGACATAAAATCACCCTATCAGAAATTCAGAATTCCTTTATTATACTATTCAGGGAAGTAGCAAAACCTTACAGACTCTCTCCAAATACAAGAATTGTTACTAGGTAAACTGGAAAGGTCAAGAAGGACCTTTTAGCACACACATTCTCGCTTGTGACAAAGTGACAAAGGCAGGAAACTCCAGCTGAGTCACAGAGGAGGATAGCACAGTCTAAAACTCAAACTGCAAATTCTCTTTAAGTCTGGCTGTAGGAAGTCTCACTTGTTTTACTTTAAAATGACCTTGGGGAAGTAGAGACTTTCCCCTTTTCACTTTAAGAAACCTTGCCGTCTTTTTAATGACTTCTAGTGGAAGACTATCCATATTCAGCACAGAGACCACAAAGCCAGAAGCTTTACCCCTTTATCAGAACTCCGGCTGTAAGAAGCCATTCCTTTGGATGTGGGGATCTGCGCAAATCTTTTCTGTTATGGCAAGTGATCTGAGAGACTCAAATTGATAGTCTGGCCACGCACCTTCGTGCTGTAAAGATGGCAGTATGACACTTATTAGTGGATGTTACTGGGGTTGATCATTACCAATATATCTTTGAGACCTACTGGGTGGGCCTACACTAAAGGCAGCATTAGGTAGCAATGAGCAGCTTCCTGGATCCCTTGCAATACAATCAATGGGGGAAAAAAAACGGTTGACACAGTAACTTTAAATATAAATGACAAGCTATAAAAATAGGAGAGAGATTCTGCTAAGAATGATGTGTGTAAATCAAGCATTAGAACAGACAATATTTACTTCATAACCTTTGTCACAAGGAAAAAATAAGAGGAAAACTGGAAGCCTGCTTTGCTTGTCTTTTCATCTGATCCTCAAAAAGCTCTAAAATGCACTATCAAATACTTCTACTTGAAGACTTCAGGTTAGAAAGGGCCAATTAGTTTTCAGCATATGCATAGGTTCAGGCATGAATATAGATCAGTGTGTAAAGGAATCAAAGTTATCTTGTGTGACATATTGAGATGCAACAGAAACCATCAGATGAATAATATAAACATATTTTTGGCAACTGACTTTTCTTTATAACTGACCCTCTTTAGATTTCTTGCCCCCTTTGCTGATTACAGCATTTGTGACTTGTACAGGCTCAAAATCCTTCTGAATACTTACATCAAAGATGGTTAGTTCCCTCCTCCCACCCCCATTTTCAAGCAAGCAAAATAAAGTTTGGTCAGCATAATTTAAAGCCAGGTCTGATATAGAAGACACTATGAAGAACAGTTCAGGTTTTTAAACCACAGACTCTCTGCAATGATTTCTTCTCTGTAAGGCAAACTCAGTAACAAAAAGAGCTTGAGGAACACCACCAACAAGATAAAGGACTGTTGTAGCCCTGCAGCTTGAAAAGAATGCAGTAACTAATTAGGAGTATACACATGACATCTTAACAGCCAGATACCATTGCTTCTGCCACAGTAAAATTAACTCCTATTGCCATAGGACTATCATCTTAGCTAGAAAAGTAACAAAGGCGCTGTATATACTGGATACTATCATAAAGCCAAAAAAAGAAAACCAACAGACATAAAACATGCACTTACACAGAAAGGAGAAATTTGTCATGCAGTCATGCATGTTTTCAGAAAGAGGCAGACTTTGGACAAGGACCGGACAAGGACAATACTTCCGTTTGAAAAAAATAGAAAATCTAAGTTAATGTGCTGGGTGGGATGCATTGCCACAGGTTTTTGAAGATATCCAGAGAGTAGTTAGTGCTCATGAAAGAAAATGGATAGATCTTTTTTCCTTCACAGAAAGGGCAAGCCTAGCTAGAGGCAGGATAAGGTTCCCCAAATGCCCATCAATACTTCTCAACACTAGCATTCAAGGCACTTGAATATGGAGCAGTTTGGTTACTGTATCCATTTCATCTTTAGCTGTATCTTGTGAGAGGGTGTTATCTGTGAGGGCAGATATTGAGAGAGAGACTTTTCTATGAAGAAGTCAATAGAGATCATAATCTTATTTCACAAAAGCCCATGAATATTTGTGACTTTTGGTCACTACTTGTCTGGGCCACATCTTAATGGGTGATGTACATATTAGTATACTAAACAAAATAGTCGTCTGTGTGCATTTTGTTAAATATGAAATTTATAAATGAAATGGAGAGAGGACCAAAAGCAAGATTATAGAATGGAGAGAGGACCAAAAGCAGGGAGGAATTCCCACAACCAAATATTTCCCATTCAAGCCTGGTGTTTAAAGAGATGAATGAAGAGACTATCTTCTTTAGTGACAGCATAATCTTCCCTGTACCCAACTGCATCTTGTGGTTTCTTGGTCTTGGAATCAAGCTTAATGTGCTTTCAGTAAATTCCTTGATTTGCTGGTGCCTAGGCAGATTAAGTGATTAATTTGTACTGAAAATATTTCAAAGAAACAATGCATGTTGTTGCCCTGTGAAGAAGAAAAAAGGGCCAAGGAGCCAACACCATGAAAATGGTAAGGGGTGAAAGGTCAGTGAGCATCCATCTACCAGATAACAATTAAAGATAAGCTACTAGGATCAACATGCAAGAACAAAGCAGGAACCCTATTATTCAGGTTAGTTTATATTCATACGAAGAAGCATAAATTGTCATCTAGATATAATCATCATCTACATATATAAACTAATGCTAAGAGGAGGGCATTTGTATATAGGCAACTCAAGCGTCTCCATATCAACTAGCCAGGCCATTGCAGCGAAAACTGAATGGAGAGGACACTTTATCTTTGCTACTTGCATGGGCACAACACAGAAGGGGGAAGTCATGGGTTATAAGCTCAATTCAGCTGGTGTAGAATAGAGCACCACAGATCAATTCGTTGGTGGGAGGAACCAATTCTGTTCCACTGGTTAGCTACCACCTGCCTTAAGCTAGGCGGGTCCCCAGCCAGTAAGGTGTTGACCCATCATGGTCTGCCTGCCTCATTTGGTGCATGGGGTTGGACCAAAAGTCGAAAAACAGAGGGCAAATCAAGTACCAGGCAACAAGAAAAGAAATCTTGAAAGCCTCTGGCTAGGAAGCTGAAATGTCAGGACCATGTGTCCTGGCATGAATAACAATTTAGAGACGATGGACAATGTGTGGAAGACCTCAATGATTGATCAAGGGCTGCAAAAACTTAACATTGATATTGCAGCCTTGCAGGAGACAAGATTGGCCAACTCATGCTCAATTTGTGAGGCCAACTACACCTTTTTCTGAGAAGGCAGGAGTGTAGAAGATACTCACCTACATGGGGTCAGATTCACAGTTTGCAACAGGTTGGTCAAAACCATCAGGACCCCCACTAGAACATCAGATCACATCATCTCACTCTGAATATAGTCAACCAACAGCTTTATTAACATCATTAGTGCTTATGCACCAACTTTACAGGCAAGTTCGGGTGATAAAGATAATTTCCATAATGCTCTGCACCAAGTCATTGAGCACCTACCATCAAATGAGAGACTTCTCCTCCTAGGGGACTTTAATGCTTAAGTAGGCGCAGATCACAACTTGGCCAACCTACCTGGGACATCATGGCATGGGGTAAATGAATGAAAATGGCCAATGTCTTCTTGGACTCTGCGCTTAAACATCCTGTACATCACTAACACCTACTTTGCAGGCAAACAGTATCAAAAAGTATCATGGAGACACCCATGATCTGGCCACTGGCATCAATTAGAAGAACTTAGCAAGACCATAGACTCTCTAGCAAGCGGAAAAGCAACAGCAGGGGATGATATCCCAGCTGAGGTTCTCAAGTGCAGGAAGGCTAGCCTGCTACTACATCTGCATCAACTTCTAGTGTGCTGCTGGAAGGAATGTCAAGTATCCCAGGACATGCGTGATGCTAACATCATTACTCTCTACAAGAACAAGGGAGTTTAAGGGTGACTGCAACAACTATAGGGGCATCTCTCTCCTCAGCATCGCAGGCAAGGCTTTTGCCAGTCATACTGAAATGCGTGCGACAACTTGCTGACCGTGTCTACCCAAAATCACAGTGTGGATTCAGAGCAGGGAGATCAAGAGTGGACATGAGATTCTCTTTACACCAACTGCAAGAAAAATGCAGAAAACAAAATAAGCCACTGTATGTAGCATTTCTTAACCTGACAAAAGCCTTCAACACTGTCAGCAGAGCAGGTTTGTTCAAGGTCCTGGTAAAGATTGGATGCCCCCCAACTTTACTCAACATGATATGTGTCTTCTATGAAAATATGCAGGCCGTAGTTCAGTTTGATGAATCAACTTCTGACAGGTTTGAGATGAACAGTGGAGTGAAGTAAAAGCATGTCCTGGCATCCACAATCAAAATATGCAGGCCGTAGTTCAGTTTGATGAATCAACTTCTGACAGGTTTGAGATGAACAGTGGAGTGAAGTAAAAGCATGTCCTGACATCCACACTCTTGGGATCTTCTTTTCTATGTTGCTGCACTACGCTTTTGATAGCTTGGAGGAAAGCATATACCTTCACACAAGATCAGATGGCAAACTCTACAATCTATCACGTCTAAAAGCCAAGACACAAGTG